AATATCATAAAAGTGTGGAATCAAATAGCAAGTAAAATATGGGTTCCTAAAAGAGAAAAGGAACATTAGGTAAAAGCTGAAGAAATCTGAAAAAACTATGGACTTCAGTTAATACTAATGCATCAATACTGGTTCATTAATTGTAACATATGTATCATACCAATGTAAAATGTTAATAGGGCCAAGTGGGTGAGAAGTATATGGAAACTCTTGGTAATATCTTTACAATTTTTCCTGTAAATCTAAAACTGTTCTAAAAAATAAAGTTGTTGGGTATTTTTAAGATTTTTTTTTTTTAATATTTACTTATATTAGAGAGAGGCAGAGAGAGACAGCACAAGTGGAAGGGGCAAAGGGAGAGGGAGAGAGATCTCAAGCAGACTCCCTCCTGAATGGGAAGCCCAATGCAGGACTGGATCCCAGGACCCTTAATTCATGACACAAGCTGAAACCAAGACTTGGACACTTAACTGACTGCACCATCCAAGTGCTCTTAAGATTTATTTTTTAAGTAATCTCTACATCCAGTGTGGGGCTTGAACTCATAACCCCCAAATTAAGAGTCTCATGCTCTACCCACTGAGCCAGCCAGGCACCCCTAAAGCTTATTTTAAAAAGCATATTTGTAAGACAATCGGGGAAGTTTTTTTAAAAAAACAGATGTAATTCCTTGGGGCACCTAGGTGGCTCAGTCGGTTAATCATCCAACTCTTGATTTTGGCTCAGGTCATGAGATTGAGCCCCGCGTCAAGCTCTGCACTCAGCCTGGAATCTGCTTAAGATTCTCTCTCTCTCCCTCTGCCCCTCCCCGCAAGAGTGCACTCTCTCTCTAAAATAAATAAATAAACCTTTAAATAAATAATTAAATAATAAAAATAAAAAACAGATATAATTCCAATTAAATGAATAAGAGTATCTTAAAGTTTAAAGAGAAAATAAATGCCCAAGGAAGCAAATAAATGAATAAAAAAAATAGTGAAGGGAAATATCCTACAAAGACACTGTAATTAAATCAATATGAAGTATTAGTCTAGGAATAGATAAATAGATCTAGTAGGGGACCAGAAGGGAACCCAGGAATAAAATCCAGTTTATATGCTATGTCAATATACGATAAAATGATTTCAGTTCTATGGGGAAAGACTGATTATTTAATAGTAATGTTGGCACAACTGCTATCCAGCTGGTAAAAAATAGTCCCCAATCCCATACTATAAACAAAAAACAAATTCCAAATGGAATAAATGTGTAATATAATAAAGCATCAAAAAGTTAGAACAACACTTACAATCTGTTTCTTAACCAGAAAGAAAAGATAACCATATTTGAGTTTATAAAAATTAAAACAATCTATGTTGCAAAAGCCATCATAAATAAACAAAACTAATGAATAGGCAAAGGATAGATTTGGGGAAATACTTGCAAAAGAGATAACAGATAATGAGTTAGTAATCATTACCAATATAAAAAGAGCTCTTAAAAATTGGCAAGAGACAAACAGTCCCATAGAAAAATGGAGAAAGGATGTGAAAGGGAGTTAGTTCATGAGAACAAATCCACATAGCCACAAGCACGAAGATGCTCAAAATAACCAGTAATTAGAGAAAAGCAAATTACAGTGAAAAAATAATACATCACTCTACACCCAATCAGATAAAAGAAATTGGAGAGCAATAATACCAATTGCCCACAGGATGAAAAGGAAAAAAATGTAAATTGTTTACAGCTGTTTTGAAAAGCAGTCTGACAAATATTTTTTAAATTAATAGTACACAGACATGTCAACCACACTTCTGGGAATCTATCTCCCAAATATGAAATCACCAGTAGAATATTTATTATGGCATTGCTCTTACTGGAAAAAAAAAAGAGAAACAAAATGAATTCTCAGCAATAAGATAATAAATAATGGTACATTAATACTGTGGAATATTAAGCAGCTATTAAAAAGAATGAATTAAAGCTCTACCATTTGACTTGGATGGGTTTCCCTGGATGTATTTTTGTTTTGTTTTGTTTTCTAATTCCAGTATAATTAATACACAGTGTTCTATTCAGGTCTACACTATAGTGATTCAGCAATTCCATACATTACTTAGTGCCCATCATGGTAAGTGTACCCTTAATCCCCTTCACCTATTCCACCCAGCCCCCACATACACCCCCACTCTGGTAACCATCTTTTTGTTCTCTATAGCTAAGAGTCTGCTTTTTGGTTTGTCTCTTTTTTTCTTTGTTCATTTGTTTTGTTCCTTAAATTCCACACAAGTGAAATATGGTATTTGTCTTTCTTTGACTAATTTCGCTTAGTATTATACTCTCTTGGTCCATCCATGTTGTTGCAAATGGCAAGATTTCATTCTTTTTTATGGCTGAGTAATATTCTGTTGTATATATATAACATCTTCTTTAACCATTCGTCTATGGATGGACACTTGGGCTGCTTCCATAACGTGGCTATAGTAAATAATGCTGCAATAAACATAGGTGTGCATATATCTTTTTGAACTAGTGTTTTCATTTTCTTTGGGTAAATACCTCATAGTAGAATTACTGGATCATATGGTAGTTCTTTTTTTTTAAAGATTTTATTTATTTATTTATTTATTTGAGAGAGAGAGAGAGAGAGAGAAACAGCATGAGAGGGGATAGGGTCAGAGGGAGAAGCAGGCTCCCCGCCGAGCAGGGAGCCCGATGTGGGACTCGATCCCGGGACTCCGGGATCATGACCTGAGCCGAAGGCAGTCGCTTAACCAACTGAGCCACCCAGGCACCCCTCATATGGTAGTTCTATTTTTAATTTTTTGAGGAACCTCCATACTGTTTTCCAGAGTGGCTACACCAGTTTGCATTCCCACCAACAGTGCCTGAGAGTTCCTTTTTCTCCACATACTTGCCAACAGTTGTTGTTTCTTGTGTTTTTTATTTTAGCCATTCTGACAGCTGTGAGGTGATATCTCAGTGTGGTTTTGATTTGCATCTCCCTGTGGTTTTGATTTGCATCTCCCTGATGATGAGCAGTGCGGAGCATCTTTTCATGTGTCTGTTGTCTATCTGGACATCTTCTTTGGAGAAATGTCTATTCATGTCTTCTGCTCATTTTCTAATTGGATTATTTGTTTCCTGGGGATATTTTTGAATCTTAAAGTGAGATGCACAGAAGTGTGTACACCATGATCCCATTTTTAAAAAGCAAATATTGCTCATAACCCAAAACTGTTTGTGCACCCAAGTGTGTGTGTGTGTGTGAAGGTGAATATGGAAACAAACACGGGAAGAAGCCCTCCCAGTTGCTAACATAGATTACTGGTAGTACTGGGAAGGAAGAAGGGGTGTGCAGGGGTTGAAAAGAAAAACTGGGCAGAATGTATATGATATGATTACATTTATGTGAAGGATATTAATAAAAAACCTGCTACAACATGGATTAGGATATAACATGATAGGCATGAGCATCTATCCTCCCATGCAGCCCCTATTCCTAATACTTCATAGTCATTTGGCACTTTATCATTTTTTTAACTACTTAGTTCTATACAACATAAGTCTCACAATCTTTTCTGCATTTTGGACAATCCTACTGAAAATTAGTTTTTCATTAACTGTTACCATACAGTTTATGAAATTGAATTTTTAGACCCCACTTTCCAAGTTGGGTTACAAGTTTTATACACAAAGTATGTACTTATGCATAAAGAAATTAGAAAAAATAAGGAGTTAGTGGTTATATGTTTACTGATTGATGAATGTCTATAAAATGAAAAAACTAGTTACAGAAAAATATGCATAAAGTAGTCTATTTTGGTAAAAACAAACAAAATCCTAACTATAAATGCTTAAATACTTTAAAGTGAAAGAGAAAGCTTCAGAAAGTCTTCACAAGGCCACAGGCCCGGGGTTCCATCAAGAGGAGGGAAGCAGAGGTAAAGGGGCAAATTACTAGCTTTGCTTTTTTACCTCTCAGCATCTTACTACTTCACTTATTACAATAGGCAAAAAAGTATTACTTTTGAAATCTGAAAACATTAAGTAATGAAAACAAAGATAAACTGCAAACAATAAAATAAATTGGGTATGACTTAGCACTTTTGTCATAAGATCCGTTATGAAGATTAAATGAGATAAACCATGTGAAGCGTGTAGCATATTACCTAATACTGCAAATACTCAGCAAATGTTAGCTATTTTTTATTTTAAAAAAATACTTCAGAGAACAGTGGAATTTATGAAACTGAAAAGATAAGGCCTTTGAATATGACAGGGCACTGTTTTCCTTACTACTGAACCCAGGTCTCCTTTGGAATGCAAGGACTCATTATGGTAGCCCTAAAACTCATAAAACACACTTTTACCAACAGTAAAAATAAAATTACAATTAGATAAATAAGATACTTAATAAAAAGTAGAGAGCAGCCTTTTTGCCTTGAAGTCTACTTTAAAAACTTCAAGAACCAGGAGTGCCTGGGTGTTAAGCATCCAACTCTTGATTTTGGCTCAGGTCATGATCTCAGAGTTGTGAGATTGAACCCCATGTCAGGCTCTGTGCTGGGCATGGAGCTTGCTTGAGATTCTCTCTCTCCCTCTCCCTCCACCCCTTGCACATGCTCGCATGCTGTATCTCAAAAAATTAATTAATCAATTAATTAAAAGAACTTCAAGAACCATCCAAAGGCTTTTGCTTCTTCACAACCACTTTGGATGAGAGATACATGGGCCCAAGATGTTTCCCCCATGTTAGAAGAGACAGAACACAATTCAAATAGATTAAAGAGTGACACCATTGCTCTTTTGGAGGGCCTGCCCAAGTGGGAAATCCATTCCTAAATGTATAAATTCCATTCCCAACTCTGAAGATTTCCTTGCTGGTATGCCTAAAAACGTGTTAGTTTAGTTATAATCTACAAACTGAATTTGGTCCATCAATACTATTCTTAGTGTCCAATGAAACATTAAAATAAGTTCATTAATAGCATGAGTGCATTATTAGTCTTGCTACTTACATGGAATTGACTTTCTCTTCGGGGCCTTGCACTTGGCCTGTCACAGTGCCTTTGCTGGTATTCTTCACCCAGCCAACCACTCCTATTTTCTTAGCCTCACCTTCTGTGTACTGGTTTTAGGAGAAAATAAATGAAACAAAATCCAGCATTAAAAAACGTAACTGATAGTTTTTTTCCTACAATCCATGCCAAAAATTCTGTAGCTGACCTACAATCATACCTGTTTACAAGACCTTCACCTAAATGGGATCTTATTAAATTCCACTTTCAGGAAAGCGAATATTATGAGAAAATAAACTGATAGTGGGAATTACTTCAGAAAACAGTTTCCATGATGTGTTTTGGGATCCATCAAATTCAGTTGCATGGCCCCTATACCTTCTAACACTCAATTACGTTGTCTGGATTCCACATGATCATCACTCCAAGATCTTCAATCACTGAGGGAAAATACTGAATCATGATCAATATACAGTATTCAATTAAAAGATTCTGATGTCTTCCATTGGCTATGGACTTGCCACACAAATGTTACAACTGTCTATAGGTAAGTTTATTTCTCCTATTATTCTTTACAGTCTTTTAAAAATTCCTCTTCTCAGTTCTAAATTCAGTTACGCTGACAAATGAAAACCTAGCAACATTTTGATTTTGAACTATTTTATTGACATCATACAAAATTCTTGTGGATGCTATCTACGGAAATTTTTTAAAAACACAGTCTTCTGTTTGGAGGTCAGAGTGACCAAGAATCTACACACTCTACATCCCCAACCAAACAGAGATGGTTACAGCTAGGATTTATGGTGAAGCTGGTTGTGAAAATGATAATGAAAAAGGAGACAATCTGATCTGTGGGGTAGGGAACTATCTCAAAACGAGGAGACTTCACTGGTTGGGAACATGCTAGAACCCTCAGAGGTTAGGAACAGAGAGCTAATCTAGTGACTGCTAGCTCAGGCAATAGGTGAAAACACATGCACATTTTACTTTTAGGAAAAAAGCATATTAACAAAATAAAAATTTTTAAAGTAATAAGGAGTCTTAACTTGTCTTAATCCCTGAGAACCACTTCCTTATGCAACATGAGCATTTTTTATCATGCAATTCAAGATAGAGACATTTGCCTGGAGGGCTTCTTCCATCCAGAACAATGACAAAATCTCATACTTTATATTCAGTAAACCTAACCAAAATGTTTAATTTGATTATCCCAGTAGAGATACTTTTGAAATTCATACAAAACATTAACTACAAACTAGGCAGGCTGTAATGCTTTTGATAGACTACTTCCAAAAGACAACTATAATAAAAAATCTCAAGCAGTAATTTGGAAGAAATACAAGTACTTCATTTACCATCAAGGACAGAAAATAAGCACTAGACCAGCACTAAGTATAAAACTGCTCTATCTCTGTAAATAGAAATAACAAGTAGGGGGGAAAAAAAACCAAAAAATTCACTTACCATTCTGAAGCAAACACCTGTACAAAAAAAAAAGATAAAAAGAAATGTCAGTTCGTTTAACTTTTAAAAAATTATGTATCTCCTGACTTCACTTTCATCTATTTTATTAAATAGTAAGTAAATGAACAAAAACTTTCATATCTGAACATATTCAGAGAATGTTTTTTAAAATTATTTTCTTTTAAAATAAAAACAGAAAAGGAAGACTTTTTGGAGAAAAATAGTATTATTCTGAAACCAAAGAATCATGAAAAGCCACACTGCATATTCATTCTATTTCAAAAGGGCAAATAAAACAAAATACTTATTACCAAGGACAGTTAAGTATATTTGGCATACAACTTACCCATCCTCAGTTTTTAGAATTTCTTCTTTAAGTGAAAGGAATAAATTCAAATTTGAATGCAATAAAACATTTCTTTTTTTATTTTAATTCCATATTCTGGAAAAAGCAAAACTATGGGGACAGGAAATTGATCAGGTTTGCCAAGGGCTGGGGGAAGGAGAGCTGCAAAGGGGCAAGAGGGAAATTTCTGGGGTGAAGGCACTGCCCTGCATCTCAACTGTGGTGGTCATTAAGTGATTGTATGCATTTTTCAAAACTCATTAAACTATACACGAAAAAAAGGTGAATGTTACTGAATTTAAATTATATCTCAACTGAAAAAATGTTTTAAATACATTGGGAAATCATAAGTGATAAATCAAACCAATATCCAAAGAGGTCAAAAGATAGTGCCTATATATAGAGCAATTGAGCCTACTTAAAAAGATACAGAAGAGATCGATGGTTTAGATAATGTTATGTATTTTGTATTGAGCCTACTTAAAAAGATACAGAAGAGATCGATGGTTTAGATAATGTTATGTATTTTGTATTGAGCCTACTTAAAAAGATACAGAAAAGATCGATGGTTTAGATAATGTTATGTATTCTGTAAGCAGATTTATAATAACAGGGGGTATCATTTGTTTTCTCATGATAGCGTATTGTGATATCAAATGAGGATGAAGAAAAAGAGTAGTAATGCAATAAAGACAGGATATATCACAAATGGAATTTTTATAGGGCTATAAAGATATTTTAAAAGATACATATAAAATGGGGAGAAATGATGAGTGGCAAGTATTGATCTGAAGGGGAATCAGAAAGGCAATTTGTTATATAGATGGAAGGAAAGACAGTAGCTTGTAGATATTCAAGGATTTGGCAGAAAACCAGAGAGTAACTTCAGCTAAAGCCGACCATGTAGAAGAGAGGGACAGAACAGAAAACAGGCCAAACTGTGAAAAGTGTGCAGTCGTTTTATCCTAAGCCTGAGAGGAACCCAAAAAGACACTGCCCAAGAAGCATTAAAGGTTTAGGGCAGGGCTGTGTTGTGCCCATTACCCCGAGGTCCTCCACAGCCAGCAGCCCCCTGTGATGTCAGCATTAGGAAAAGAAAGCCAGGCAACGGAAGTAAACAGAAATTGGAAACATCTGGTCCGGCACTTTCCTATTCAAAGAACAGTCCAATGCCCAACAGCACCAGCAGAAGTGGAGTTTTTCAAATAATCATATTCTCAGGCCCCTTCCCCAGACCTCCGGAAACAAACTCTGCAGGTAGAGTCCAGGAATCAGGTTTTAGCATCCTCCCCGGGTGATTCACAGGCACACGAAAGTGTAGAACCAATGGGTGGTGCTACCTTAATGGAAGGCCTGGGAAAGGTTTGAAAAGGACTTTTTTTTTAAGATTTTATTTATTTACTTGAGAGAAAGAGAGCATGAACGGGGGATAGGGGCAGAGGGATAGGGAGCCTGATGTGGAACTCGATTCCAGGACCCTGAGATCATGATCTGAGCCGAAGGCAAATACTTAACCGACTGAGCCACCCAGGCGTCCCAGAACTTTTATTCCCAATCAAGAACTGCATCGTAAAGGGAAAAGTCTTGTAGGGTATTGCAGATCTGATGCCTTTCTGGATGACGCTGTTCAGGTTCATGTTGGTAACTAAATCATGTGCTTGCAGAGCAATGTTCCTTCACCTATTTTACAAGCCCACAGCACTACAGGAATGGAGCTTCAGACAATGAAAAGGCAAAAAAAACCCTCCCCTGTGCCCTCCTTGGACCTGGTGTTAGAGCAGCCCACGCAGCCCTTCACTTAGATTGTCACTTAGTTAAATATTCAAAACCATGTCACTGCACTCACTTTACAAATTATTCCTAGCCCCAAACTTCATTTAAGACTTACCAAAAAAAAAAAAAAAAAAAAAAGCTGATTCTGTTTCAATGTTTTTAGAAACATGGGTAATACTGTTTTTATGCCCTAGTCCAAATTATCATTTCTCAACAGCCTCCTTAACTCGTCTCCCTGCTTCTAGTTCTGCCCTCCTACAGTCTATTCTCTATAAAACACCCAAGGTGATTTTCTCTTCTTAAGTAATGTCGTATCACTTTCTTCCCCAGCTTAAAACCCTCTACTGGCTCATCATTACACTCAAAATAAGAGGTGTCCTACTGGCCACAGCCTCCAGACTCCCTCCCCCATGAATCTACCTCATATTTTAGGACTCCCTCTTTGCTCTCTCCATTTCAGACAAATTTGCCTCCTTCGTGCTCCTCAATATGCCAAGCATATTCCTGCCTCACAGTCTTTGTATGTACTATTCCCTCTGCCTAAAATGCTCTTCCCCTGACCTTCTAATGACTAACTCCATCTCCTTCATGTCTCTGCACAAATGTCATCTCCTTAGAAGTATTAATGAAGGATGGTTGGGAGAAAGGCAGGCAGGGACAAAGGCCCCCCACCCCACCCCACCCCCGCTCTAAGAGGAAACCACCCTTAAAAGGATTTTACACCACCCTGGACGGAGCCGTCCAACCTTTCCCAGGTGATAGGTAGATGACAAAAACCTGATTGGGTGACAGGCGCATGGAGGGTTAATAAGATTAAAACAGCCTGCCGACAAACCCATAAAATCCCCTAGACTTAGAAACTCTGGTGGCAACCCTCTTGGGTCCCCTCCCTCTTCAGGAGCTTTGCACTATCGCTCAATAAACTTTGCTTTACTATCACTCAAAAAACTTCCCTTTGCTGCCCACCACCCTTCCTCTGGTCTGCCTCTTCATTCTTCAAAGCGGTGTGACCAAGAACCACGGGCACTAAAGGAAAAAAAATCCTGTAACAATATGTCACCTGACCAATTCATCTAAAACAACAATGCACCCCATATATTTCCTGTATATGTATAGTATTGATTACCATATGACATTACAAGACATTTGTCTACTTTTTTTAAATTTCCTGTCTTCACTGAAAGTTCTATTAGGACACGACTTTTTTCTGTCTTGTTCACCACTGTGTTCCCGGCACCTAGATCAGAGCTTGGCACATAGCAGTTGAATAAATGAATGAAAGATAAACCAGCTGATAATTATTTAAGTGAAATACTTAACTCTCCTGTAATAATTCCTTATTAATATTGCAAATATACATACAGGCAGATTGATTAGACTTTAATTCAAAATGATGATAATAAATTTACTGCATTCCAGAGCTGGGAAGAATCTCAAGAATTCTGTGCTGATTCTAGCAGAACTTTACCTAAATAATACATAGTGTTATGAAAATTAGTAATGGGAAATTTGACTCAAATGGAGTTGGGAGGTTTAAGCAGGGGGAGCTCTCACGCCCTGCCATTCATAGTCCATTGCAGACCCAACAGGAAGTGAGGGACTTGACCTTACCCATGCTTGACCTTGCACATAGATAGTACTCTGCTACTGCAGCCTAAGGAAGAAACACTTTCCTCATTCCCTGCCCCCTCATCTGGGCAACAGCTCAGTCAAAGAGAAGCCACCACACTTGGAATTCCCAGTTTACCCCACTGGAGTTTTAGTCCATAATGGCCTTCCCAAAGTACCCCTTTTGTCCTTAAAAAAGCATGCCTCTCCTTTGTTGCCCAGACTCACCTAAGGTTGTGCCCCAACTTGTTTGTCCTGATTCACAATTCTCTTTTATTCCCAAATAAACCCTTTTTTGCTGGTAAAATAACTGGCAGTTTTACTTTTAAAGTTAACATTACATGTATACATACATATTTAGTATATAAAATAAAAGATAGTAAGAAGCCACTAGATAATGCCTAAGTTGGCAAAAAAAGAACTATTAATATCAGCATGTTGTTTATAAATAAAGACATAACAACCACAAGAACGGGAAAAAGTAAAGGTTAAATCGGTCGTCTTATAGAACTTAACAGGATTTGAGATGAGAGACTGAAGCAGAATGTGTGGCTGTATTTATAACTATGAGCAATAATGGCACACTCATTTATTAAACAAATCTTAAAACAATAGAGCTAAAGGACTGCCATTTAAGAGACATAATTTTAGGCTAAGTTCATACTGCTTAACAAACCAGGTAGAAAATGGAAATGTTGCCCATTACTCTAGGCAGTGACAGATGGACAACAAAACATAAGACTGAAATAAATCATGTATGAAAGATTCAGTATGGACTTAACAGAAACTTAGTTTGTCTTGGTTATCGATCTAATGTTTTGAGGTTGAGACCATGGAGATCAAAGATTTCCTGGAATAAATCCTTCTGTGTCACTAGCTGGGAAAGAATACAGAATGTAATCATTACTGTTAAATTTACTTAATTTATAAATATCTGTGGCAGACATTGCTAACTGCCTACACAGAATCCATTCTCCCCTTCTAACTTTCTAACAGATTCTGATTTTACTCGGGGCAGCAACATGCCTTTCTATAGTTCCCGTCTTCCTTGTAAGAAGAGTGGCCCATGAGATGCGAGCCATGTCCCTGGTGGAAGACTTCAGGAAAGCGCGTTGACAGGACTGACACGGCCGGCGGTTTCGCCCTCATAGCCTCCCTCTTCCTGACTGTAGGTTGAATATCATGATGGAGCTATAGCAGCCTTCTTGAAACCATGAGGAAAAGGCCAAGGACATCACAATGGCCTCGGCCCTGACCCCCCTGAGGGGAATGGGGAACGACTGCTAAAGG